GTTGTTCCACAGTTTGTGACCCATGACTGAAAACGCCCGATCTCCTCGGAGCTTCAGTCGTGTTTTTGGAACAACCAAAAGCAGCTGATCGGATGATCTCAGAGCCCGAGAGGGAACATATGGTTCCAGTAGCTCAGAGAGGTAGATGGGTGCGAGGCCATTTAGGCACTTATAGGTCAGGAGGAGAATTTTGAAATCAATCCTAGTTCTCACAGGAAGCCAGTGTAGGGAGGACAGAACTGGTGTGATGTGCTCATACCTCGGTGTACCGGTTAAGAGCCGAGCTGCAGCATTCTGGACGAGCTGTAGCCGTGAGATAGAGGCCTGGCTGACCCCAGCATACAGTGAATTACAATAGTCCAGGCGGGTTGTGATGAATGCATGGACTAGTGTCTCAAGGTCGAGTCTAGACAGCACTGGCTTGAGCTTAGCTACCTGCCGCAGTTGGAAGAAGCTTCTCTGTAGAACTGAACTGATCTGTTTGTCGAACTTAAAATCCGAGTCAAAAACCACTCCAAGGTTTTTAACAGAGTGCTTCAGATAAGGCTGAAGGGAGTCCAGGTTCACAGGATAAGAGGCGGTAGCTGAGCTAGGGCTAAAGACAATGACTTCAGTCTTCTGGTCGTTAAAACTTAGAAAATTTGAAGCCATCCATGTCTTAATATCGTCCAGACATTTGAGGAGAGGGTGGACGGAACAAGCACCGGCTGGTTTCAGTGGCAGGTAGATCTGACAGTCATCGGCGTAGCAATGGAATGGAATACCATGTTTTCTTAGGATCGACCCCAGCGGAAGCAGATAGAGTGAAAATAGAAGGGGTCCGAGAATCGAGCCCTGCGGGACACCGCAGGAAAGAGGCATTGAAGTCGATAGATTTTTACCCACCTTCACACAAAAACTCCTGTCAGAGAGATATGAGCGGAACCAGTCTAATGCAGCACCTGTAATCCCAACCCAGTGTTCAAGCCGAGAGATGAGGATACTGTGGTCAACAGTATCGAAAGCGGCAGTAAGATCGAGGAGTACAAGAGCCACAAAATGACCAGAATCATTTGCTGTTAAAATGTCATTACAAACCCTAACCAAAGCTGTTTCGGTGCTGTGGAGCTGCTTGAAACCAGACTGAAAGACCTCAAAGATTTTGTTCTCAGTTAAAAACTGATTTAACTGAGTAAAAACTACTTTTTCAGGACGTCCTCTATCTATCCAGCGCCTCTCACACTGGTTGTGTGAGGCTATTTCTGAAGTTTACAGTTCATCTGGACTGGATCCTCCAGAGAATCTCAGCGCATTCCACCAGAGGGTTTTCATCCTCCATGGCTCTACAAGGAGGGATGACAGTGGAGAATATTTGTATGGCAGCTGCCTGGTCATCGCCACGTTCAATTATTCGTTTTTATCTACGTGATGTTTCTACTTTCTCCATGACCCATTCTGTTCTCAGGGTTCTGACAGAATGATTATTATTTGTTTCATGGAACTTCACTTTTGAGCTCACACCTGCCTGCATGCAGTCGCAGTGTAAGATATATATTATCAGTCACAAGTTCATGACTGCTGATTTTATCGTTATTAACCGGTTCATCCTGAGGAGCTGTTGGTCTGCTCTGTTCATCGTTACACATTTACAATTTGTATCATCCGTTGTTCCTATTCACAGCAGCAGGTCTGCTATCTCAGCCTTTTTTCCTCACCAAAGATCTTTTCTCCGGTGCGCGCCTGCGCATGGAGCATGTAATTACACAGCGTGTAATTACGCACACAAAAGGCTGAGTGATGAAATGTTTTTTTGTGCAAGCAGGTGCTTCATGTTGTGTCTGAATGGATCCAGTGAGGCATAGGCTACATCCTGCTTCGCCTTTAACCCACTAGCGATAGCCTAAAAGGGCGAAGCCTATACGAAATAGAACGTTGGTTACGTACTGTAACCCCAGATTCTATGAGTATAGGTGCAGCCCTTTAAGCTGTGGGCCTCACTGGTTCCTAAATGGCTGAAGAAAAAAAGCTATTTAGGAGCCGATTGCCCGGTCTTACCGTAATTTATATGGACCGGGGGTGGGGCCCACACATCTGGTGTGCGTGGACTAAAGTCTTTAGTGCTGCACTGCATGTGATGGGATAAACCCACTAGCAATAGCCTTAAGAGTTGCGCCTATACGCATAGAATCTGGGGTTACAGTTAGGGATGCACTGTTTTCTCCTTCATGATCCTCTCCCCTCTCTGAGAGGTTCTGACTCTGTGGTTCTGTCCTCCTCTGGGTCTGCAGCTCCTCCTCATGTTCAAAAAATGTCTAGTTTTGACTCTAAACTCACTAAAACTAACAAAACTAAACACACTAAACTACACATTAAACATCGCAAATCTCTCAAAACTCACGACTCACTCCCACTGTCACTGCCTTCATTGCGCCAAACTCCATTCAAATTCTGCATCTTTTTCTTGTTCTTCCTGTAGATTTTTTGGCGCTTGACAAATAATTTCAAGCCTCTGTCAGAAAGGAGGGGGTGGTTGTTGTCTGTTTGGCGGGGGTGGCAGGTGAAGGTGGAGAGTGATGGGGCTGTTTTGTCCCTGAGTCTGCTCTTCTTTGCCACAGCCTCTCACTCTAACATGCTTTATAATTATAATATAATAATAAGTGCTGTGTGTTGTCATCATTGTATGTTCTCATACAATGGCAAAAGTGGTTCTCTGCATTTCACCCATCAGACCTCAGATTCGCCCAGGTGGAGCAGTGGGCAGATATGTAAGCGCCCAGGGAGCAATTGAGTGTCTTTGCTCAGAGACACCACGACATGTGGGAATGGCTGGGGATCAAGCCTGGGACTTTCGAGTCCTGGGTCGGCTGCCCTGCCTCTACCCCATCTCAGTCCCCAAAATATGGCGAAAATATTCAGATTTAATGACACCATCTCTTATTTTTCTTACAATAGGTTTAATAGTGCTCTGTACAGTTTGCAGGGTTTAACATGTGTTTTATAACCCAACCCTAATATGTATATCCCTACAGCTAAGTTCCTTGGTCTTCATGCTGTCTCTTGATTGGTGGTAGATCTTCATAATAATAATAATAATAATAATAATAATAATAATAATAATAATAATAATAACAATGTGTATGTGTCGTCATCATTGTATGTTCCCATACAATGGTGAAATTGGCTCTCTGCATTTAACCCATCCACCCCCAGCTGGGGCAGTGGGCAGCTATTGGAGATGCCCAGGGAGCAATTGGGGATGGGGTGTCCTTCTCAGAGACATGCAATGACCAGGGATCAAACCTGGGACTTTCGGGTCCCAAGTCGGCTGCCCTGCCTCTACACCATCTCGGCTCTCTACTTACTTCTTACTACTTGGAGGTGTTGGACTGATGTTCTGGAGGTTGTCAGACCAGGTTTGTATATTCTGAGATCAGCTGACACATATGCCTCTTGTGCCACTACAGCACGGTTCAGCTGGTTTTCCACTATACTCTAGTGTAATGGCTCTACTGGGTGAGTTCAGAGTTCAAAAATTGACACCACATGCCTTACCAGCTGGTGGTAAGACCCCGAAACAGGTTTCAGTACAGGGTGAGAATTTATTTTCAAGTTTCTGGTAAAATAAAAATAATACAGATTATTAAAATGATTAAAAATAAACTATGTATATATATATATATATATATATAAATCCTGCTAATGAACTTTTAATGAACTTTAGTTCATTAAATCTCTGATGAACCAGATTCTACAAAAACATCTATATTTAAAATTTTGTATGTTTTCTTCATCATTTGATGTATTTGCACTCATTGTGTTTACTTTCATTGTTCAGTTAAATGTGTGGTTTTGTTTCTTGTTCAGATATTTTTTTTAATTTTTAGCTTTACTTTAAAGTTCTTGTTTTGTGATTTGTACATCTGTGGGTTAGAATAACGTTGAACTAAAGGCCATAACTCTTATTTAAACATATTTGATGGAAATATTCCTGAGAGATCCAATAATTTTGTCTTTTTATGATTTTTCAGCTGCGTTAACTTTAACAGATTATTTAATAGCCATAAAAGTGAAAACAGGTTTTCATGATGAAGCTGGTACTTTTTTATTATTTTATTTTCATTGATTAAAAAGACAACAACATTTTTTTATACATAAAATGTTTCCACCCTCTGTCCCAGACTCATCCCGGTCTGCCCCTGTCTTCCAGGACTTGCACTCCTGCGGGTCAGCAGTAGAGAGGATCCTCCGTGGTGACCGGCAGAGCTCGGATCCGGAGAGGTGATGCCCTGTCCGGCCTGAGGGGGCTACGAGGCTCCGGTGGAGAGGACCACGGGGACAGACGGAGCTTCATCTAGCTCGCTCTGAATTTGATCGTTGGCCACCAAGCACAAAAAACGCCTGCACTTCAGCATTAGACCACGGTGTTATCATTATTGTTTTTAAATCTGTAAAATAGGTACAATTGCTCCTCAGAGGTCGAGTTATGGTGGATTGGGTTGTTGTAAAGTTTCTCAAACAACCAGTGACTCCACCTCCTGACCAGTCAGTGACCGACAGTGTTCTGATGTCACGTTTTAAGGCCAGAACAGTACACTTGGAACAGGAGCCAAGTTGGTACTGAAAAAGGATCTGGTTCCACGAATCAAGGCTAGTGGAAAAATCTTGGAACCCTGCAGACCCAAGAAGAACCGTGCTGTACAGGTGCTAGTTGAAAAGAGGCAGTAGATTGCTCACAGACAGGTCTATTTGAACTAAGTATGGGCTTCTCAAAGTAATGATTCAGCCTTTAAACAAAGGAGGTGAATACACATGCACACACTAATTTCAGGTTTATATTTTTAGAATTGTTTTTAAACAGATTTTCCCCTTTTAACGTTATAATTCTACAGAAGATTGTGTAGATTTATTACTAACTGGGAACCCACTAAAAGCTGTGTAAGGTTGTTTCTTTCCACAGTTTGCACAAACTCTAAGCCTGTTGTGTAGTACCCATGAAAATACACAAGACATTGAAAAAAGAATTGGCAATTGGCAAGTTTATTTAGTAAGTAAAATAAAAAAAGAGTTTTAAAAATTGCAGGTTTTCCATTATTGTGGAATGAAGTTAGCAAGCCAGGAAGCCTCCATCCACCGGCAGGGTGACTCCGGTAATCATGCTGCTCTTATCGCTCAGCAGGAACAATATAGTGTTCACCACGTCCTCCACCTCTGCACACAGAGACAAACTTGTCTTCAGTTATCTCATATCTTCAAATATTCATGCCTGTGATCCACTTGATCTTCAAACTTACTGTCTGTCTCTGACAAACGTATGACATTTTAGCAGCATTGAGCTCAAATGTGATAAAATAAAGATTTTCATAAACAAGAATATTTGTGAAGAAAATCCAAAAGACGATACTGCTGCCACTCCCTGAAAATATAACACGCATCAACATTTTTTCTTTTCTTTTATCCCCATGACAAATTTAATTTAGTAGATGTTTGTTCTTTTTTGGGGACTTTAGTTGCTAATTCCTGCGTAGCTTCTGACCTGTATTTAAAACTTCTCATTAGAGTTGACACATTTGCTCAAAACCTTCAGAATTTATGGAGACAGCCACAGAATAATGTGCAACAAAGATCCTGCTGAAGTATACGCTGGTTACCATGGTGATCCCCGCCTTTTTGGAGGCGTAGAGACGGGAGGGGAGCACACACACAGCAGCACTTTTCACGAAACAGGCAGTCTAGAAATTGAGCCTCAAATAAAAGCGGAGTGTTTGTGTTGTGCAAAAACAGGGTTGTGTCAGAAAAATTATTGAACACGAGAGGCACCTTTGGGTGGCCACACATTTAGAATTTATGTGTGTAAAGTTGGGTTTTTTTGCCAAAAATATGAGGGATTAAAGAAACTGTTCAATTCCAGTTTGGGGATAAAAATCAGGGCACAGATATAATGGGAGTTAATTAGTAAGTAAGTAAACTTTATTTATATAGTACTTTTCATAGATAAAATCACAAAGTGCTTTAGAGAAATACAAAATGCAGACTTAAAATAAAGCAAAAACAATAAGAACGGCTGATAAAAACAGTAATAACACATTTATCTAAAAGCTTATCTGAATAAAAATGGGCAGCATGGTGGCGCAACTGGTAGAGCTGCTGCCTCTCAGCGAGCAGGTCCCTGGTTCAAACCCCGGTCCAGGGGCCTTTCTGGGTGGAGTTTGCATGTTCTCTCCGTGCATGCGTGGGTTTTCTCCGGGTACTCCGGTTTCCTCCCACAGTCCAAAAACATGCATGTTAGGCTGATTGGTAACTCTAAATTGTCGCTAGGTGTGAGTGAGAGAGTGAATGGTTGTTTGTCTCGTTTGTCTCTGTGTGTCCCTGTGATGGACTGGAGACCCGTCCAGGGTGTACCCCGCCCCTCGCATAGTGATTGCTGGACATGGGCACCAGCGACCCCCGTGACCCAAAATGGAATAAGCGGGTAAAGAAAATGGATGGATGGATGGATGGATGAATAAAAATGTCTTGAGCTGCTTTTTAAAGGAATCAACGGAGACGGCCACATGAAGAGACAGAGACAGGGCATTCCACAGTCTGGGGGCCACGGCCTGAAAGGAAAGGTCACCCCAAGTTTTAAAACGGGTCTTGGGGTGCATTCACACCAGACCTGTTTAGTCCGCTTTAATCGAACTCTAGCTCGTTTTCCTAGAAAGTCCGGTTCGTTTGGGGAGGTGTGAACGCACCACTGAACTCTGTCACGGAACAAAAAGGTGAACTCTGACCCAGTCTAAAACCTAGGTCTCGGTCCGGTAGAAGAGAACTCCAGCACGGTTCCAGTACAGTGTGAATGAAAACAGACCGGGCCCCATTCTGCAAGCAGGAAGTGGAGTACAGCGCAGGACAAACAAACAGCATTTCTCTGACCTCATATGGAGCCGTCAGCTCCTTGTGTGAAAAACAACATTCTCCATGGTCTTCTGTCTCATCTTCTGCTCATGCTGAGTCCATTTTTGAAAAATGACAAAATATACCTCCTAAACCTGCTAAAACTTGATGCCACTCCGTTTTTGTTTTTATTTCCAGAAGAAGAAGAAGAAGTGTCTTCAGAGGTTTTTGTGTCGTTTCTTTCAGTAGTTCTTGGTGCAGCGCCCCCACAGGCGAGCGGGGGAATAGGTTGACTCCACTGCACAGTGCAGTGTGAATGCAAACGCACCAGCTCAAATGTAACAAAAGGTCATGAATATTGGTCCTGAACCGAGTCTACCGGACTATCTAGTGTGAAAACGACCTTAGGGACCTTTAGGAGGTTCAGCGCTGAAGATCGAAGGGTGCGGGCTGGAGAATAAGGTTTAGTTGTGCATACTTTGCATTTGAAAAATCAGAGGAAACGCTGAAAGTCTTCCATAAACTCCCTTGTTTCTCCAGTCAATCTTGAAGTCCCAGTGTCCTCCAAATCTGACAGTAATGACTTCCTTAACTTTTTTCTGATGAAAGTCAATAACGTCAGAGGAACCATTTTTCCATCAATGTGCCATAATTCTATTTCTGGCTCTTTGCTCTCTTTTTCCATGGCTGCATTTGATCGACGTTATGTGACCTTTCATCTTTGTTCGATAAGATGAAAATTTATACCAGTCCAAATGACATTCTTTCAGCGATGTTGTTAAAAAAAAAAATTCTGACATTGGTCCTTGCATTGTAGATATTTACAATGCTTCTCTTTCAGCAGGTGTGTTTCCAAGCTGTTGTTGAGCCATTATCAAAAAAAGCAAACCTGGATCCTACAAAGTTTGAAAATTACATGCCAATCTCCAAGATCCCATTTTTGTCTAAGCTTCTTGAAAAAGTAGTGGCAGAGCAGCTGAACCGAGTCTACCGGACTATCTAGTGTGAAAACGACCTTAGGGACCTTTAGGAGGTTCAGTGCTGAAGACCGAAGGGTGCGGGCTGGAGAAATAGGAAATCTTTGACAAATTTCAGTCTGGGTTTTGAAAGCTCCACTCCACAGAGACCGTTTTATTTAAACTGTCGACGAGGAAGAGGGCCTGCACAAGAGGAGGGGGCGTGCCAAAGACACCATCTTAGCACCAACATAACTGGTTTGTTCCACTTTGGAGTAAGCTGTTGGGGGAAGAATCAGTTTTGTGTTGTGTGTTTCCTTGACTGATGAAGCCTTCTGGATGGAAGGTGAAATGTTTCAGCAAAAAAATGAAACTGTCCAGATGACCCGACTGAAATTTGTTGGATTGTATACCTGGATTATTGAGCATGGACTTTTTTTGATTTATTTAAAGTTTCCAGCGATATTTTGATGTCAGCCGACTCTAGAGTATCCACGGTGATGGTTCTCCTAGATCTAACATCTGCCTTTGATACTGTTGAACACAGTATTTTGATTAACAGGCTACAAGATGTAGTCGGTCTATCAGGCTTGGTACTGGAGTGGTTTATCTCCTATCTTTCTGGCAGAACAATTAGTGTTTCTGCAAACCAGATAATGCCAGAATCCAAGATCCTGCTATGTGGGGTACCTCAGGGCTCAGTGTTGGGAACTATTCTCTTTCTTTTGTATATTTTCTCCCTCGGCCAAATAATAAGTCAGTTTTCAGATGTGTCTAATCATTTCTATGCTGTTGATATTCAGCGATATCGTTCCTTCAGATCTTCTGAATATTACAAATTGTCCTCCTTGCTAAATTGTATTGGCAATATCAAACAGTGGCTCAGTGACAACTTCTTACAGATTAATTGTGATAAAACTGAAACCTTAATTATTGCACCTGACAATCAAATAACTGAAATTAAGCAACACCTTGGTGTGTTAGCCTCTTCAGTTAAACCAAGTCTCATTATTTTTGATTCTGCCATGTCAGTGGAATAATCAGAAACTGCTTTTTTCAACTAAGAAATATTTCTAGGCTTAAGTCTCTTGTGTCAAACACCAAATTAGAGACGATTAACCATGCTTTTGTTACATCCTGTCTACATTACTGTAACAGTCTTTTCATGTGTTTGACTAAGAAGGATCTTGATCGTTTGCAGACAGTTCAGAATGCTGCTGCAAAGTTTTTAACCAACACACGGAAAAGACAGCACATAATGCCAGTTTTAATCTCTTTACATTGACTACCGGTACATTTAACAAATTTTGTTATTACTTTTAGAGCCATGACTGGTCAAGCCCCAGTCTATATCTCTGACCTTTTAGAGCCCTACTCCTCTTCCCGGAGCTTCCAGTCAAAAGCTGTTAATGGTTCCACAAACTCATTTTAAGACCACAGGGAATAAAGCTTTTAGGGCTGTGGCCCCCAGACTGTGGAATGCGTTGCCTCTGACTTCACCAGTAACTTCCTGGTTTTAAACACCAGTAAGACAGAGACTGTGATTACTGCTCCCAGTCACCTTCATCCAAAAATCAATCAGAAAATTGTCTCTTTCTGCTCAGTAGCCAAATCAAAAGTAAAAAATTTAGGAGTCACATTTGACTCATCATTAGGCTTTGAGTCTCACATTAGAGATATTTCTCGTTCTTGTTTCTTTCATTTAAGAAACATTTCTAAAATATGACCTGTGGTCTCCAGAGTTGACCTCGAGAAAATTATTCACGCTTTTGTGTCATCACGTCTGGACGACTGTGATGTCCTTTTTACCTGCCTGGACAAGTCTTCTGTCTCACGTCTACAAGTGATACAGAACACAGCTGCCAGACTTCTCACCAAATCCAGCAAATACTGTCACATCACTCTGGTTCTGTATTCACTACACTGGTTCCCAGTGGAGTTCAGAATCAGTGTCAAAGTTCTTGTGCTGAAGGACAGAGCTTTAAATGGCTCCTGTGTATCTTTGTCAGATTTTAACCAAACACTCTGCTGCTCGTGGCCTTCGCTCCCAGACACAGAACCTCTTGGATGTTCCACGTAGGCAGCTGAAAAATAAAGGGGACGGGGCCTTTCAGCCAGTGGCCCCCAGGCTGTGGAGGCGGGACCTTTCAGCCAGTGGCCCCCAGGATGTGGAGACGGGGCCTTTCAGCCAGTGGCCCCCAGGCTGTGGAGGCGGGGCCTTTCAGCCAGTGGCCCCCAGGCTGTGGAGACGGGGCCTTTCAGCCAGTGGCCCCCAGGATGAGGAGACGGGGCCTTTCAGCCAGTGGCCCCCAGGCTGTGGAGACGGGGCCTTTCAGCCAGTGGCTCCCAGGATGTGGAGACGGGGCCTTTCAGCCAGTGGCCCCCAGGATGTGGAGACGGGGCCATTCAGCCAGTGGCCCCCAGACTGTGGAGACGGGGCCTTTCAGCCAGTGGCTCCCAGGCTGTGGAGGCGGGGCCTTTCAGCCAGTGGCCCCCAGGCTGTGGAGACGGGGCCTTT